CCCCAAAACCCCAAAACCCCAAAACCCCTGTATTCAATATTTGTTGCACAATTTGAGAACTTATGTATTTATTAGAGGTTTCATAATATATTAATAATAATTTATTTAATAACTAATATAAACTATAAAGATGATCATAGAAGCGCGACAAAATTTTGTGAAGAATTAGTTCGCAGAAGATTTAGTTGGTTTGGAAATCCAGCCAGAATCTTTTAAAACCCTACTAGAAAATTAGTTGTTAAAGAAACTTGAAAGCTTAAATAAATCACAATAATCTTTCTAGTAACAATACTTTGCGCAGCTAGAATCTTTTGCTGAATTCAATAATGAGTCAGATTTTTGCTTATTAATTACAGCCCTGTTTCCCACAGAAATAAAGTAACTATTCGAGAGATTTTTAGCGATTATTCTAGATCCTAATTTTTCTAATAGATTTTAACAATGCAATAAATTTAAAGTAAGCATTGAGAATTTGAAGGTATTTTTCAATAAATACAGAATCTTCACTGAAAAACAAAGATAGCAAATAGAAGAGAAGCTTTCTTAGGAAAGCCTGAGGAAAGTGAATTCTGAAGATAATTCTTCATAAAATAAAGCTATAGCTTAATAGCAAATGTTAGCCAAAGCTAATCCTAAAGCAACTCCTTAAAATTAAATAATGTAAAAGATCTAATATTGGTCTAAAGAGAGAAAAGAATAGTTGAAAAAAGAATACGAAGAATTCATAAAAGACTATAATTCCGAGTAAATAAGGAAAAAAGTTTCAAATATCGACAATTTCATCATAAATTATGCAAAAAAATAATTGAATACTAATGAAGACAATTTAAAGATATAAAATTTACACGCTTTCCTTGAGAAAGTTGTTAAGAAAGCTGTGGGAGAAGAGGCCGAGCTGCTTATGTATGGATCAACGGTCAATGGTCTATGTGTAACAGGTAGCTCTGATTTGGATTTAACAGTCATTGTTAACGGTCTTGAAGTTAATCACAGTGACATTTTGAAAAGGATTTAAAGATAAATTGAAAAAGTAAACTAAGATAAAAGATTTAAAGATATAATAATCAGAGATATCAAAAGTGGGAGCTTATTGGCTTTCTAAGATAGCGAGACTAAGATAGAAATCGATATAACAGTAAACAAGATAATTGAAGTCTATAACTCAGCATTGCTCTTTAATTACAGCCTAATTGATCAAAGATTTTATCAGCTAGTAATTCTTCTTAAGCAATGGAATAAAAAGAATTTTCCTGATGCATCAACTAGAATAAATTCATACTCTATAGTACTAATGATCTTAGCCTATATGTTGCATAAAAAGCAGGTGCCTAATATCCAACAATTAAGTAAGCCTAATGACAAAAAGGTAATCAAATACTAAAAGTTTGTAAGGTAGGAAAATGGATATGGGGGTTACCTTAATAAAATATATGAGTCTGATGTTTGGTTTGAGACAGATTTAGATATCATAAGTTAAGAATTCACTCCTGATTAAAACAAAAAAACAAACAATCATTTTACAGTTGGAGAACTTTTAGCAGATTTTCTAAAGTTTTATTACATAGAATTTAATCCAGAATAGCATGCAATAGATATTTAAAATAAAAAAACAATTATCTCGAAACATTAAGTGAAATCAGAAATATTAAAACACACAAATTAGGCAGATGAGTACATTTATGAGAATGTACTTAGTAGCATTCAAAGATATACCTTCATGATAATAGATCCTTTTGACAAGACATATAATCCTGCAAAATCTTTAATAATTAATACATAAAAGGAGAAGGATTATTATAATGCTTTTGGCTCGACATTAAATGAGCTTATTAATCTGGGGGAATTTACAAGCTTTTAATGAGTTAAGATTTTAATATTTTGTCCAAATCATTTATTACTCTATCAACTTGGTAATTATTTTTAGAGAGGGGTTTTGGGGTTTTGGGGTTTTGGGG